AATCATTCAGTTGTTATGAGGTGTAATAATCAGTATTTAACTGATTTCAGGCGACTAGAACATGGCATTATTCATATATCATAGATAATGGGAATAAATAATAGGACACAAAATATTGATTTGAGTAACAATAAGCTCACTAAATCCAAAGCTTCCACGAAGAAAACAGGTCCCTAGCAAGCCGCTTTGAGCCAAGACAAACAAACAAGTTCAAACAAGATGAAGATTTAAAGGGGTCATGAACTGAGAAATCAAAATTCCCTTGATCTTGTGGCATATAAGAGGTCAATGTACTATAAAAACATTAGAAACAAAAGGATAAAGATGGCTCCGAAGACAACAAGTCACTGTGCAGTGCCAAGCTGTGGAAAAACACAGTATTTGCATTGCCTTCCTTCTGATCCCAGCGTTAGGAAAAGAGCGGATGAACTTTATTTTTAATGAAGATCCAGACCGCGTCAGTAAGAACTCGGTCCATTGTTTACGGATTCATTTACAAACAAGGCCCAAATCGACACAGGATTTTCAGAAAGATATTTCCAGATATATAAATGCATCCAAATATTTTATTAATATTTATTATCAGTATGACAACAAAAAAGGCAATTATTTATTTATACATGAATATTTTAGCCAACAAAAAGTTGACAAAATCCATAGACCACACAAACTGCTTGTGTGTTGGTCACTTTTAAGTCACTGGACAAAAGTTTCAAGTAAATGGTTATTTTACCTGTTTTGACTAAAACATAACATCACATAAACATCCTTCACTTATGCATAAGATATGTAATAATACTCATAACATCCATTTATGCAAACGAACAGACTTCCAAATAAACAGCATCCCTAATTGTTTCTCATATCTTGCCCATCAGCTAATGGTTTTCCAGAGAGCCTCGGTCTTACTGTGCGAATTCATTAGAAGAACTGCTGCTGAAATGGAGTATTTATTCCATCTAAATGCATCAGGAGACTCTTTTGTTTGACATTTCTGTTGAAGATGCTTCTTGAAGATTATAAAATCCTATTAGCATGCAAACTACTTTCTCCAAACAGTCTATGTGAAATGAACGGCAGCCACACAATACACAATACAATATGCACATGCATTAGCTAGAAGTAAATTACTTATTATTTCTATCTACATTACTGGCATCCACAAAATGAACATGAACTAACATGATGGTCTCTTTCTGCTAAAGTTAATGCAGACATGGAGCGGAAAGAGCAGAAGGGAGGGCTCGTGTTTGAGCGTCTCACGTGGCACAGCTGTGCTCCTCACCTACAGATGCCGGCGTACTGCAGTCATGGAAACACAGCCACGGTTTTATTATGATATTCAGAAAATACACATATTGGCCACATTAAATCAATGTAATCAGTCTCTATTATTTCACGAGTCAAAACAGCCATAAGTGGCCTACTGGACAGACTACACATGTCTGAAATAAGGTTATTGAGTAAACTGATGTACCCATGTACTCAGCAGAACACACTGAAACAACTTAAATACTATCGAGGCTGCAGAAAGCAATACAGCAATAAGGCAAAAAGCATAATTCAAAGCATGACGATCAACCACTGTAAGACACGGCCTGAAGTGATGTATTACCTTTATAAAACAGCACCAAAATAAAATTGATAAAAGGCATCAAAACACCATGTCATACAGTAATAACAACAACAACAACAAAAATCATTTTAATAATAATATTTAAAAAAAATAATAGCTAGGGTGTTGATAAACAGTATAATAATTATATAATAATAATAATAATAAATCATTGTTTTGTTGTTGTAATTAGAAGTATATAATAATACACAATTACTATTATTATTAATACTAATAATTGTTGTTATATTATTTATCTTACAAATAGTTACATTTATTATTATTACTGTAATAACAACAACAATAATACTATTAATAATATTTAAAAACAAAGATAATAGCTAATAGTTAATAGACAGTAGGACACCACATCCAATAAAAAGTTAGATTTATTATTATTATCAACAACAACAACAACAACAATAATAATAATAAAATCATCGTTTTTATTATTATTATAATTATATAATAAACAATTACTATTATTATTAATACTAATAATTTATTTATTATTTTATAAATGTAACAAATAGTTACATTTATATATTTATTATTATTATTATTATTATCATCATAATTACTACTACCACCATCAGCATTGTTATTAGTAATATTATTAATGATAATAATAAATGTACATTTATTGGACATGGTGTCTTACTGTTCTATTAACCATAGAAATACTGTAGAATCTTTTAAATATATATATTTTGTTGTTGTTGTACTTTTTCCAGGTTTAAATTAGATTTTGTGTCACAGATGTTCAGCGTGAAGAATCTAGTTCCTCTAACCGCTTCATTAATTCATTAGACTGTTTACAGCTGCCAAGCCATGCAGCAACTTGGCATATTAATATATAATTCAGCTGATGTGTGGTCACAGGTGTACGTTTACAATGGTTTTGAGCTGATCTAATCAGATTTAGAGTTTACTATTATGTTTAAAATAAGCTTATGCTTCAGTATGTTGTAAGGACCAGGGCTGCCTTTCCCAAAAACATCGTAAGCTTAAGTACATCGTAGACCCATTGAAAACAATGGAGCTATGATCAACTTTTGGGAAACGCAGCCCAGAAATGTTAGAATCTTTCTTACATATTTACATACTCGTAAGAAAGTTTGGACAAACATATCAAATGATGGTATACTCCACTAGACAAAAACGTAAAGTTATTCCGTTTTTTTCTGTTTTATCAGTTAGTACAGTAATGCAGTTTTGTGTTAGGGCAGAACTGAGCTGTGGACTCATTCATCTTTAATGGAATTCTAACATATACAGCCCTTTCTTTTAATATCTCTCATGTTTTCCCACTGAACAGACATTTTCTGAACTGGATGGGGATGGCGACTGAATCATTCATGAGAAAAGTGCACATGCAATGGCAGAAGGTGAAAATTTAATTAAATACTAGATGAGCTGCCCCGATGAACTTCCCCTGAATGAAATAACACTTCTATACCTTGTTCCAAGGGCACAAAAACCATTGAAAAGAATGAATTCAATGTTGCTCCTAAATTCGCACTCTGATTTTCGGCCTTGAATACGGTTGCAAAGCCATAGAGTTTACATGATCACATTTGATTTTCCTTCAGAGAGGAAACAGCACTTACAGCATAAATCAGACCTAATATCAGACAAACACAATCACGTTGCTGCACAACAAACACACTGGGAGGCCAATCAGTAACTGAGAGGCTAACTCCACTTCAGGTGTGGTTTACAGCAGTGTGTTTAATATTAGCAGCCTAAAGGAATCTTCTGGGTTCAACACAAGTTCAGTCCCTTGGATTACCAAAGGAAAAAAATGGACTTGTCCCACATTTGACAGTAATGCATTATGGATGATTCATTATGAATAAGGCATTCCAGAGGGTTAGACAACTGAAATGTGAAGCTTGTATTTATATCATAGCACTTATATTAAATCTTTTGTTCAAAAATATGTAATTGGAGCTGTTGAGAGTTGTCTACATGATTCTTTTAATGCTGGGACTATTTCTGTAGGATAAACTTGCCCTGTTGACTTCCATTAAGGCAGTACTGGAAACACGATTGTGCTTGTTTTTACAAACTGAGGGTCGAGCCAAAATGATTATTTATTTTTTATTTTTTTCAACAGATGCGGTTGATAGCACTTAAAATAAATTTAAATCAGTTGTTTTCAATCAGGGGCCTCAGCAAACATCCAGAGGGGCCCCAATAAATCATAAAATTATTTAAAAAATAAATTAGCATTAGATAAGTAAAAAATAATATAGATATTTTGAGTCGATTCATTTTAATTTCAACAAAAGTACCAGAGGTACATATTAGGGCTGGGTTTTGACACAAATTTCACGATTCGATTCGATTTGATTCAATATCGATTATTTTGGATATATATCAGGTACAGTACATGCCAAATTTTCTCAAGGAAAAAAAAATCTCTCAACTAAAGCTGTAAAATATACATGAGAGACAGTTGGTACTACATTACTATAATATTGAAGGTTAAAATTTACTGATTTTTTAAATAATGAAGTTACAATTACATAATAATATTTCTACTTCAATTAGTTTTTTGAAATATAAACATAATGGTGGCTGTCATAAAAACTTGATGGATTTATTCAAACAAAAATTAAACATTGAAGAACGGTCAAATTTATAATGAATATGTTATATGGTACATATATTTAGCAAAATACTCCTCTCTACAGTTTATTTTTCTATCTGACTAATGAGTTTATGGTCACCGAATATGTTTTTCTGAGGTTAATGTGACGTTACGTGACATTGTTTACAAGCCGTTATATTGACATCTTTGCGCGGCTGAAACACTGATTGAGCGATTACATGAGACAGGATACGGATTGTAAAGTTGTACTCTTTCTTTTAATATACCTTCGGATGTTTAGTCATGTTTATTTTGTGCTGAAACAGGTATTAATGTGGAGGAGATGATCAGTTCACGTGCGCCTCGCTGCCGCGTCTGTTGAACTGAGGCGCTACAGCGATCTGTCACTCCACATTAAACAGCGCCAAAACGGCATTTATTGTTTGAATACTGCAATACAATGGACAGAATTTGAAATCTGAGACTTTGTTTCATATTTGAAGAACCAAAGCACAATGCTTATTCCTGACGTTCCGTCCATTAACTGAAAACAGGCTAGACTAATTGATTCTTGGGATTTAAGAATCGATATCGTTCCGTAAAAATGAGAATCGATTAATATCGAGATATCGATATTTTTTACCCAGCCCTAGTACATATCAGCTTACACAGGAGGGCCTTCAAATACTGTCTCAGACAAAGGGAGATTGAAATCCAAAAGGTTGAGAACCATCGCTTTAAATAGATAATTAAACATAAGCGATAATAGTTTTATGACATGTGACTTACTGCAGGTGGCATCAGCCTCATCCGATCCGTCCGGACACTCGGGTTCTCCGTCACACCGCCAGCGCCCAGGAACACACTGACCGTTCGCACAAGCAAACTCTGAGGGAGCGCATGTGTTCTTCACTACACACGGAGAAAGAAAGAAAGACAGAGTTTAATGTCTGCACACTCTCTAAGCAACAACCAAGTGTCCATATCGTGGGAAGCAGAAGTCTGAGACCACATTGAAATGATCTGGTATTGTATAATCACACTTAGCAATAAATGCACGAACTCAGGAAAGTACGGACTCGGGAGGTGAACTAATCAGTTCTATATTGTGTACACACCATACGGGCCTGTCACCTGATGAAAGACCAAACGACTCAGGTCTCGCAAGGTGAACTAATCAATTCTGTTTCCTGTACCAGAATTTTGCACTGGCAAGTACTGGAAACAGAATTGATTAGTTCACCTCCAGAGTCATTTGATTCATGCGCTATCACACAAAAAAATGAATGAATAACTCTATGAAACAGCTCATTACTCCCGAGTCACAGAAAGGATTCGTTCGAAATGAATAAATCATTCAGGATTGAAAAAAGAAACTAGAAATATTTATATTTAGTCTAAAATACAGAATTATATCAAAAACATATGCTTGCACACTCTCCCTGATTACATGCATTTAAAAACTTTTACATATTGTAGGCTATTTTAATTACCTAATAAATTTTATTTCTAATAATAATGAATAAACATGGAAGCTCAAATGTGTGACTTTCATAACCGACAAACTATTAATATAAGAGCTAACAAAGAACTAAACAAAAACAAGTTGCAGGGAAATCCAATTTTCTTCTGTATTGTAGTAACAGATACAAAACAAAAGAAAAACATAGGGTGGGGATTTATGCCATGCACACACTGCAGCTAAATTTGCATTCAACAACCGAATTAACTCCTGAAATATTCAGTAGTAACAACAGCATTTACAAAAATTCTACGCAATGTGTACAGAACCAAACTGAACAACTAGTTGTTAATGATGTAATTAAATGTGGATCAGAGTTGTGTCTTTTCTGTATGTGTGGTGCAAGAAATTACAGTGAACAAGGTACGTTTTGACTCATTAGTGTTGCCAGATCTTGCTATAAAAAAACAGCAAATAAATACAAGCCGATAACAAAGTAAAATCCAAATGCGTTATCTTGAAAACACCAAAATATTGCGACCTGCTCCTTCCTACTTTATTAACTCCAAAAAACAGATCGCTTTTTGAGCCAAGACCAAACAACAAGCCCAAAGATGTTTAATAAGCATCGCTTATAATAAGTGGACAAGGCAACCAAACATAAACAAAACATGATGGCTCTGTCAACAGTGGTTTAGTTAAAATCACTGAACATGACAAGTCTTTGGTCTCTGTAATATTACTTTTAGTAAAAAATAGCTGATACCAATCACGAAAAACAGCGTCAGTCAGCAATTTCATGAGTGACTTCTGTTCTGTAAACACAAAACTGTAATTTAGAGGATTCAGTTCGGTATTTAAATGTGGTTGTCTCTCCTGAAAGTTGGCAGTGTGTACCGATGATTACATCTATCAGTTGTTGATTGGATGGATGCAGATCTGTAAGAAAGAGTCAGGTTAAAGCAGACTAAATGATTAGAGAAGTGCAACCTACATAACTAAAGAGAAGACTGTAATTTCACTGGAAGATCAAGTTGTGACATTTTAGATAAAAATGTACAAAATTAAATAAAAGCATGGATGAATTGTTGATAATAAGAATAATAACATGTATTAAGAAAGCAGTGTGAATTTTCATTCCATGCTGACTTTGCTTGTGTAAGACTACTGCATTCACTGATCTGAGCAGATGGAGCTGTCAGCAACAGAGCACGGACAACAGTCTGGAGCTGCAGATATTATATGCAGAGGCTCTGCTCTCCACCTGCCGAGTTCTCACAAACACTCGCAGACCTTCAGTGGGCGGCAATCACAACAGCCTAACACGACTCCACAAGACCTGTCGACAAACCTGAAGGATCCGCTGCGGCAATGCTGCATCAATTTCTTTCCCCACAGCTCTGTGAGGCTTCCTATTGTCCTTGGACTCTGGTAAAGACAATGCGTGGTGTGGGCCAGTAACCAGCCAACAGGGACGCGTCTAATCAAACGGAATGCACCCGCAGCCCTCCCCGAATCCTCAAGCTGTGCATCTGACTCAACCGAGTTCGTGTTTCTAACAGGAACATTACATCAGCAGCTCTCTCTTTCCCTTCACAACAGTAAACACGTGTTTATTGAGCAGATTGCTGACCAATCCTACCTTAGCAACTGCTGCCGCCTTTCACTCTTTTCTAACGCAAGTCTGTGTGTGTATTGATAGTTTTTAAATGCAAAATGTTACACTGAATTTGTTTTATTTTAGTGTTTTAGCAACGCAACTGTATAATTTTATCATTTATTTAAAGAAAAACATTGGATAAAATGGCTTAAAATGTCTTGATTCAGTCCAGCTCAAGTAAAAAATGATTTCCAATTAATTTTGACCAATTTTACTCAAAAATTACACTGTGCACAGAAAGACGAAGCTTAGCAAAAGGTCAATTAGGTCAGATGAGTGCGTTTGCCCCCCTTTTCTATGACTACAGGCTCAGCTGTTAAATTTAGGAATATCTAATATGACCTGATTAAAAAAATACATTTCAGTTTTTATGAAGAAAATGTGAGTGGTCAAAAAACATCACCACACACCACACATACAATGTTGCTACTAAATTAAATCAACATTGAACTAAATTGAGATAAATAACGACACTGTTGTCTTCTGTAAAGCTGCTTTTAGCTGAATTTAATTCATGTCACTGATGAACTTTGCAACATTGACATTGTTATCGAACTGAATTGAATCAACATTGAACAAATTAGAGCTGAATAATGACACAATTGTTTTCAGCAGAGCTGCAGAGAGTTTTCACTTTTTTAACGTTAGTTAGAGTGTAATGTTGCTGTTTGAGCATAAACAATATCTGCAAAGTTACGAAGCTGAAAGTTCAATGCTAACGGACATATCGTCTTTTAAAATTCTGGCAGTTTAATGCCCACAAAGGCGGCTGGTAGGGACTACAGCTCAATCGGGCTCAAACTGATAAATGATATTAACGACGCCTTTCTTTACAATACAACCGGAGCACATGCCGCGGAGGTGAGGGGCGGGACGTTAAGACACGCACTAGAAGCGGTTTAGCCAATCACAACACACTGGGCTAGCTAACCAATCAGAGCCCATCGCCTATTTCTGAGGGAGGGGCTTCATAAAAGCAGGAAATTGATCAGCGCGTTTCTCAGAGAAGGGATAGAGTGGTGTGGAATAAAAGTAAATTATGTGAAAAATAATGCGTTTTTTAAAAATCGAAGTATTAACACATGTTAGACTGCACCTCATAAACACAATCAAGCCTAGAAACAAACCACTGAACCACCCCTTTAACATCACTGAACCGACCTATACCAATAAAACTTTTTATGGGTTAAATCAGGAAGAAATAGTAAAAACCTCAGGTTACCACTTTTTATAGTATGTAGTTGAATTGAGTTTTTTCATAACTGATCAACTTTGCAACATTGACAGTGTTTTTGGACAAAGTTGAATCAATGTTGAACTAAACTGAGCTGAATAATGACACTATTGTCTTCTATAAAGCTGCTTTCTGCTGAAATTGAAGTCTTTCCATAGTTAATGAATATTACAATATTAACAGTCACTTTCGTTTTTACCGTGAAGCTGCTTTGAAAAAATGTATATTGTATGAAGCGCTATAGAAATAAATGTGTTCTGAATGGTTTTGCACATTGATATATGGCTGCCAGGAATAAAAAATTCTATTTTTGTTTCTCAATATGGCTTGGATGTCTCCATCAATAATTTTTGGGGGATTTTATTCTCTGTTTTATCATCCACTAAGTAAAAATGTTTATATCTTGTTCAAATGTAATACCTTGTTATGTATATGTACACATTTTTCAGATGTTCCCCACAGATTTCATTGCATGAAAGGCAAAATATGAAAAATGCATAATCTGTTGGGACACAGGAATATTGGAATATTGTTGGGGCACTGTGAATATTGTACTGATGCCTGCACACATGCAGATGATATTGTGATGCATTTCATTTCAATTGAATGAAACTGTAGTGCTTCGATGTTTGAAGGACAATGAGGACATCTGCACATTCACTGATTCACTACAAAGTTGTTTACTAACTAATAACTGTTTTCACCAACTAGTGCCATCTGTTAGGGAGGCACTGCTATTTTAATTAAGAAGACAGAATGGTACTCAAAGAAACAGAGAGAGAAACAGGGAAAGCGAGGGATGGAAAAAGTAAAGAATGTAAAATTGCACCTGATTGTAAAAATCTCATAGTATAAAATCTCACTATAACTCTATTGTCTGATTTTGCTCTATTTCGTCGTTGAAAATAGTTTAAAACAAAGACACAGCGGAGCCGCAGCGCATCTCCATTCAAACACAGCGGTGTTTCGTTTATGAATGAACAGGGTTTTTTAAACTAATCTAGTGAGTCAGTGATTCATGATTACCCATTCATAAAGACAGTCACTTGCTTCATTCCTGAATGAATCAGCCGTTCGAATGAATCAATTGAATGAATGATTCAGTGATAAAAATCAGTGACTTGCCGCCACCTGCTGGCAGTTTTAGTTTCATTTTTAAAGTATCTTTTCAGTTATTTAAATAATTTTATATTTCTATATTCAAAATTGTATATTTAAAACCGCATCATGAATTTATGGATTTAATTGCACTTCTGAGCCTCATTAAATGTCTGAAAGTACAACAGGCCACTTTTGTGTTCTTCTGTGCCACCTCTACAAATAAATTTTGTTAATACTGATTTCATTTGATTGGTAACTTATATTTCTTATTCTACTTGTTCTTATTCTGTCATTTTAATTACAATTTTTTAAAAAGCTTATGAAATATAATTTTTTTAAGAATTTGACAAAAGATGACATACTTTTAATAAAGTTAGAGGAGTCAAATATCACCTCGTAATGGGAAGGTTAGTTTTTGATAACACTTTGGATTATTGATTAGAAGGTGCTCTTAA